CTTATTCAGAGTTTAAATAGTCACAGTAATTAATTCAAACTAGTGCAATCAAATCCATTTCCAAAAAAGGGAGACCACACACCTCCAAGATACCACTTCGAATGCTTCTCTTTTGAACATCCTACTTCTCAGGGGAAAGTAGTGAAACTGAAGTGCTTCTTTCTGAAATCCTCTGTAGAGCAGTGTACTGATGAAGTAAAGTTGTTTTGTTGTGAAATGCATGTATTTGGCTATTTTTATCCCAAGACCTCTGTTCCACTCTGGGGGACTGAAAAACAAATTTATCACATGAGTGAAATGGGCAGTGGCTACCTCTTCAATAGGGACCTTGTGTACTCCAGTGATTAGATTTGGGATAAGTTGTCCAGGCAAAAGAAAAATGGAGCTAATAAATTTCAGTGCATCTTTTGAAAAGCCCTAACAAGCTTTTATCTGGGGAGGGGAAATTTTTTGACAGGTTAGGATTTTCTAGACCATAACATTTCATTTAAGAAGAGCACTTCCTTCAAAATCATTCTCAACTGTCTTTGCTGCCTGTTTCAAGCAACATCAGAAACACTTTGGGGATAAAGGATCATTTTCTAGAGAATGCTCTGGTAAAATGAGGGGTCTCTAGCCAAATATGACAATAGTCAACATAGTTCCTTGTGTATTTCACAGTTAAGTAATCTTATTGAAAGTTCAAAGAATTGGATTAAATTCCTTTTGGATTTCCTGTGATAATCTCAGTTGGATCATCTGCTCTTACATGTTAGAGTTCAACGATGTCTGAGTCTGTTAAGGAAAAATGACATTTATTAGACACAACTTTCTTTTACAAACCTTCCTCATATGAATGGCACAGCGTATGCTGCTTAAAGGACTGTCTTGCAACTAGTGAGACTTTTGCATAGATAACAAAAAAATACTGTCAGATAGGAAATAATGAACTCCATTAATGCTTTATCTTAAAAAATTGTGTTGATTTTGGACTTGGTTTCTCTCTCTCCATGTTTTACAGTCCATTTAATGTATACAGCGATTTTAGTCTTTTGTTAGCAAAGGTTAAATTGATCCTGCTTTGCATTGTTGCATGACAGGTAGTTTTGTGAACTTGAAGGATCAGAGTCCTTGGATATAGACTTGTATTCCAGGATGTGGTTTGGGGGTACCGAACATCAATCAAACGGACAAATACTTCTTTTGGGCAGAAAAGTTATTGTTTGGATTTGCTCTTTGTATATTTAGTGACAACCCCCACTAGTTATTTTTAAGGGCATCTGAACTTTGGGAATGATGCTTATATGTTTGTTTTGTTCAAATCTAAGTGGGCAAATACTAAATGTTTAACTAATGCATATCAGCCTAGCACCACTGATTTACTCAGCTAATTATCTATTCTAGTCTCTGTGAAGTCATTGAAAATTTTACTATTAATTTTGGAGGACCAGGTTTTGATCTTTAAAATATTTAAACTATATTTAGGAATTGTGACCTTGGTGAGTGCTTTAAATACGTATGATAAAGGAACTAAGCTTGTGATGTGTTGTTCCATGTGATAAGAATGCAAAGATTGTTATTTTGTTTGCTTTAGTCTATTTTATTAAAGTACTTGAGGAGAAATACATAAATTGAGTAGTTTAATCTTTCAGTTAAGCAGGAGTAGTAAGTTCTTTTGGGCTAGATCTTAGTTTCCCTGTTTTTAATGTAGAACTTCTCTTGTAAAGATTAACATGTATGACAGAGGCAAGGTTGCTAATTCTGTCTATTAACAGATGTGGATTTTGCTTGAGCGAGGTTAAATGTCTGATAGTGATCTATGTCATGACACAAATATAAGTATGGAAGAAAGTTTGTGCTGGCTTCTCTGAAAGAATGCCTTTGCTGATTTTTATAAGCTTCATCCAAAACCCAAAAAGAGAACCCTTCAGTGCCATTAGAGAGAAAGAAGCATTTCCAAGAAAAAGGAAAATTTGAAAATCTGCATTTTCAGCAGTGACTAGTATTGGTTATTTCTCAGTTTCAATGTTCACAAACCGAGAATTCAAAGGAAAATTTGGAAGACAATCCAAATGAAAAGGGGCCCCAGTTTTCTGCTTTTCAGACTCCTTTTGAAGTACCTCCACCCAGGCAACTATATCTCTAGTCATTTTAGAACTCTCAATCTCATTATTCTCTTTTCCTCATCTTTCTCTCTTTTCCTCTTCTCTTTTCTATTAAGGTCAAATCCTGCCTCTCCTGATGCCAATAATAAAACTCCCATTGATTTCAACATCAGCAGGAAATATGCAGTTTGTTATTTACCACAACCACCACAATGAATCTCTGGGAAGAATTCATTTATATTCATTCCAACGACGCCATGAAAAATGGGCTCTTGCTATTTTATCACATCCAAACTGTTGCTCTAACTCTAACATCCTAGCCGTTGCTAACAAGTCAGTGATGATTTGTAAACCAACAATTTATGGTAACCACATTCCATCCCCATTATGATGTGTGGTTTGGAAATGGAAAAGTAATCAAGACCTCCTGTTAAGAGACTTTATTTCAGTTGAGGATTTTTGTAAATAAAAGCATTTTGAAATGATCATTGCTATATGATTCTAACTCCAAATTGTTCATTTGATCTAGGCCCCATCTACGCTCCAAATTCCTGCCAGGCTCTATCTTTCAAGAGTGTGACATCTCCAACAGTGGCATGAGCATACTGACAAAACTGTTTTTATCAGTACAAGTATTTTCACTCAACTGGATAGTTTCACCAGACTGGAACAGCAGTTCCATTTCTTGGACACAGCTATGTCCATTCCCTGGAATACTTCATAATACTCTATCAGCACACTATAAGGGTACTCTGACATAAATAAAGGCCTCCTACTACAGTTACAGTAACAGATGAAGAATTGTAGTTAGACCCATGGTATGTAGTAAGGCTCTTGGGAACTAGGAGCCTGCATAGTTTGTGCAACATTTTGTCTTGGTTGTAAGGATTGTGGGCTGTCACTATGACTTTAAGGAGGACTTTCCAGCACTTTGATGGGAGACCACCTAGAATTACTGGTAAATAAACTCAAACAAGGGAATTTTGTTCCAGTACTAGGTTCTGGTACCAACTAGGTTGAAAACCTTCTTTCATCTCTTTGACACTAACACACTATGTCCTTCCAGCCCTGTGTAAGAAGCCTAACAGCCTGGCTTTGAGACTAGAGCCATTTAGTTTGGTAACCTGCTGAAAGAAATATCAATTTAGGCCATCTAGAGAGTACCCCAATTAATCAGCTCTAACTATTATGTGATATGAGGATCGAGACTACACTAATTAGGAGATAAAGCTCTTTTCCTACCTCTTCCTCTCCAGCAAAAGTCACTACCTGATTAGGTTACATATCCCAGGACTGAGCACAATTCACTAGGGGTAGGATGCCAGCTGAAAGGGTTTAAATGTATGCTCTGATTTTCTATTGAACAAAAGACTGACTACCAAAAATAACTCTTAGTACTGACTTTTATTTTGTGGCCTAATACTATGAAAAGGATTTGAGCATGTGTGAATCCACATGAGGTGTTCATAAGCTTGTCTGTATTTTAATAATGGTATGAAAATTAAGAGATATTTTGTTATTAAGTAACTTTCTAAGTAGTTATCTCCATAACATTAAGGTGAATTACATTTTTTAAAGGAAATTTTACCTCATTTGGTACAACAGACTGAAAGATAAGACACTAATCCTGGCAGGAGAGCTCATTCTCCATGGGAAACTAAGCACAGGTCCATGATAAAATGGATCCATGGGCTTAACTCTCATTTAATGTGTTCCTTCTCACTCCTAACCCTCTGCTACAAGCACAATGCCTTCTTGATGATGACAGCACAACTGTTCATGAGTCTGTGTTTTGAACTAGACCTCTGAAATCCGTTTGAGGAAAAGCAGTATGTAAGGGAGAGAATAATAATGGAAAGTAGTTTCCCAATCTGTCATAGTCATGCTGCCAGGTATGGTGAGTAGCAATGAGTGGTGGAAAGTGGGAGAAGATTTTAGATAGGACTGCCTGACACAAGCAGTAGTAGTAGTGCCAAGGGCAAAAGTGTCACCTAAATCAGCTTCAGAAAAGACCTCCCATATTTCACTAAAGAGATGACTAACGTATTGTCCTACAAGCTGCTAAATATGAGTTCTGGTGGGCTTTGAAAGGACAAGTTCTACCATGCTACACTCTGCAGCCAGAGGGTCACTTGAGTGTGATGATAGGGACCACTGCAGCCCAGAGTGGTTCATCTCTCTTGAGCAGTATTTGATAATATCTGGCCTCCCCAGTTCTGGAAACAGGTTTAAAAATTTCAAAGTGGCATTACATGATTTTATCCCTATCGCTCATTCTTTCCACATAGTCCTTTGGGGCATGGAATCTGTATCTCTTCTTTCTTTTCACAAATATTTACTCTCCCGGTGTATATGCCTTTGGCCTAATATATCATGTTGTTCTTTAATTAGAAAGTTAATGAAAAGGAAGAAAATTGTCAGTATTTGTCCAGCAGCAAGAGTCTATCAGGTTACAGGGCAGGATCTCAGCCAAGCACCATGTTTACATTAATGCTGATGCTGCGCTACCACCTTGTGGGCAAAAGGTAAATAGCGCTGAGCTCTTCGACACTCAGGGACAGGGTCCGCGTGGAATAAACACGGCACTGGCTGAGAAGGTGACTGGGCAGTCCACTTGATAAGGACAGTAGAGTCTGAATCCTCCAGACTGAGTTGGGGATCTGGGCAGCCAGCAGAAGTCAAACAGATTGTGGAAATCTGCTGGAGCTCTGAAGCGTGATAGCAGGTGAAGGGTACCCTTCAAAGGGATGTGACAGTCTGGTTCTCCTCTAGGATATAAAAAGAAGCAAGTAGGATGAAATCATGTTCCTATCATACTAGAGTACCAATGTCTTTATATAATAAACTCTTCTGATCTGCCTGCTCCTAACCGCAAACCTCAGAGCTACTTACAAGTTCCTTGAGTGTCTTCCACCTGCTAACTCATCAGACAAGTCCTGTGGCAGTGTATTACCTTGGAGTCCCAACACCTCTCTGGTCTTCTCTCCACATGCCAGGATTACAGCAGCTCTCTTGCATTTCAGTGCTGTGCTTCGGGGAAGAATAGAAATGAGAGAACCACCTAAAACTTCAGTTATTGAGTATATTATTATTAAGAATATTATTGGCAACCTCTTCATCCCATCAGGATTCAGTGCCCCACCGCACTTAACAGATTTCAAGAGAAAAAGCTGTATTCAAAACATTGTCTTCCTTTTCCCTAAAACTGAAGGAATCCCCCTGCATGTCTGAAACTCTGCACAATTACAAGTACTGTCTGATGTGCCTCCTCACACAGGAATACAGAAGAATTTGGAAAACAAGTGTTGCTCTGACATCTCTGTTACAAGCCAAAGACTTCCCTGGAGTTGTTCAAGAAACGACTGGACCTGACACTTAGTCCTACTCTTCAGTTGATATGGTGGCCTTTGGTCAAAGGTTGGACTTAATGATCTTGGATGTCTTTTCCAACCTTAATGATTCTATCACTCTATGATTGGCTGAAGGTAAAAGCTTCTGGGGGACTGAGTTTCCTGTTAGTCAACAGGCTAGAGATCCAGATTTGCACTAATACCAAATTCTCTCTGTGGTCTGATGTGATGCAAAATCTTACTCAAGGTTTTTACATCCAGAGAACACGTCCAAAAAGCCCAATTAATTTGGCATTACAGAACAAGCCTTTCTCAGTTGCTCTTCTATTAGAGTAGTTCTCTTCATGTGGTAAGTTACATGTCTGCTGGAGTAAGCACATGAACTTGGGTCTCTAACATGACTACAGATTGCCTTAGTGGTAGGCAGCAGCATTCTTTCTGCTTTCCTTCTGTCTCACCTCCCCCATCCTCTACATTTTCATAAGACAGTTTGAGCCTTTTTACCAGGATTGTCTCTTCCAAGCTCAAGAATGATCCATCCTGACAGACAGGAAGCCAAGGAAAGATGGCAGGAGGCCTGCATAGATGAAACAGGAGCTCCAGACAAACCTGAAACATAAAAAAAGAAACATGCAAGAGATGAGTTTAATTTCAGATCTCCCATAAGGAATATAGACATATTATATCCTACAGGATGAGGTTAGGAAAACCAAAGTCCAGCTGGAGTTGAATCTGGTGAGGGATGTAAAGGAAAACAGGAAGGGCTTCTACAAGTGTATCTAGAGCAAAAAAATGGGGGAAATGTAGGCATGCTGCTGAATGGGATCATGAAAAAGACTGAGGAACTCACTGACTTTTTGGCTGGAGAAATGGAACAACCGGAATCTTAGTGAAATGCAAAATCCTTCACCTGAGGTTGATTAGCCCCATGCACCAATGCAGAGTAGGGTGATGCACCAGCTGAGAAGCAGCTTGGCAGAAAAGGCCGGATGGCTAGGGAGAACTGGTGGACAAAAAATTGACTATAAGCCAGGAATCTGCCCTTGAAGCAAAGATGACCAACAGCACCCTGGGCTGCACTAGGAAGGCTGTTGCAGGCAGATGGAGATAGGTGATCCTTCCTTTCTTCTCATCACTGGTGAACCCACATCTGAAGTGCTGCAGCCACAAGGACAAGGACAGACATAGTGGGGCAAGTCTAATGAAGGAATGTGATTATTTATAGATTGGAGTATGTGACATACAGGAAGATACTGAGAGAGCTGGAACTATTCAGCCTGGGACAGTGAAGACAGTGGGATCTCAGTAATGTGTATAAATACCTGATGGGGAGAATAAAGAAGGTAGAGACTCTTCTCATCAGTATCCTGGGAAATGGACACAAAATCAAATATATGAAATTCTGTTTAAATGTGAAAAGGGTTTGGTTTTTTTTTAATACTGTGAATAGTCAAACACTAAAACAGGCTGCCCTGAGAGGTTGTGTAGTCTCTGTCCTTGGAGATATTCAAAGCCTGATTGGACACAATACTGAGCAACATGCTCTAGTTAACCCTGCTCTGAGTAGGGTGTTGGACTACGCCATCTCCAGAGGTCCCTTCCAAACTCTCTGATTCTGTACAGGAACATATTCATTATTCCAGACACAGTTCTAACAGGACCAATGCTCCTACATACAACTTCTTGTTCCCTTTTTGGCAGAGAGAGGAGAAACATTTCTATCTCTTGATTCCATTTTCAGAATAACATTCAGCCCACAGTTTTTGTGGGACGTGAGTCCTCATGCTCTCCAGCACTTTTCCCTGCCCTACTTCTCCTGTTTTCCAAAGAAACTTATTGAAACATCACAGCTCCCCTCAAGCCCCAGCTTCTGTCTTACAAGGACATGGAAAAGACCAAAGTCTATATATACATATCTTTTTGTGTGGCATAAGCACAGGATATACCAAGGGCATGAGGAACAGTAAGTGCACTGCAGGTGCTCTTCCACTCCAGCTCTGTGTAAGAGCGATCCTTTAATTCAGGATCAGATCACTCACGTCTTATTCTGTCTCAAGCACAGCAAAATTGCTACACAGGACTGCCGTGAATCCAGGACTCTCCCATATTTTCTCACCTACTGTCCCTTTGCTTTTCCCTTCCACTGACCAATAGTGTGACATAGCAGAGCTGTTGTGGAGTAACATGTTGTGTACTATGGAACTTAGTCTTAATTTCATCTAACAAGATCTTGCTCGTGAATGTTTTTCATGTAATACTGAAAATAACTTCTTTACTGAGGGTGGAAGTCTGGAAATGTGACAAATTCTGAACCTGTTTCTCTGGAGAGAAATTGCTAGCAGAAGACTTTGTGATGGTTTTGTAGGAGGAATTCTGAGTAAAACAGTTCTTGGTGTTTTTTGGTGGTGCCCTCAACTACAGGATTACATTCTTCCTCACTTCTTTGAGCGAGGGTCCTTAAGTAAAAAAATATTTCCTATTGCTCCATGTTTCCTAAACAATAGAATTTATCTTGCTCTGTCTTGCACACGAATATAAACAGGATTCCACAATCTCAAAACTGATATATTAGAAAGCAAAAATCCTGAACTTCCTTTCCTGAATTCTCAGGCGACATAGTACACCATGAAGCACAGCCTAAGATAGCTCTTCTGAAACTCCGTTGTACTACATATTTTAGCAGCTTAGAATACAGAACTAAGCCATCAGTAGGAAGCATATGGGCCCTGCAGTCCACTGTAATAAATTTAGTGTTTTCAGCTGTTAGTCAGCACTTAAAGGTTTTGGTAAACTGCTTGAATGTGAGGAGCAATTTTTAGAAATTAATCAGGAAAGACTTTGTACAGACCATCTTTTCCACTTAAATAGTAAAGAGTGATGTGTTCTGTAGTTCTATGTATAATGACATCATTGCTTCTTTGCTTCGTGTTTTCAGTCTAGTTCCTGGACAAATAGAGATGTCAAGGTAATAGAAAGTCACTTTTCTCCATGAAAATATTTTTTTATCTATGTATCTAATCTATCTGTCTATCTGTCTATCTCTATCTATCTATTTATCTTTAACTCCATTTAATCAAGTAATATAGCAATACAGAAACAAATGATGTACTTACAAAACACAGAGAAATTGTGCTTGAATGGCTTGCCCACAACCCAAACAGGCAATATCATCAGAAAGCCAGTACCAAAATAGTGATGGGGTGGAATTATTCCCAAACTGCGTTATGTACATGATAGATTTGTAATGGAAAGTCCATTCTGGTAAATTCTGACTTGCTTTCTGCCCAGGGATAAAGACCGGTAATTGAAAGAAAGTTATAACAAGTAACACTGGTTAGCAACTTTCATTTGCAAAAGCTCCTTCCTCCTCAACCTCTGCAGCTAACACAATGTTTCATAAAGGGGCAAAACTTCAGATTCAGTTGCGAAGCCTGCCTTTGTAGGATACTAGAGATGCAGGAATCAAGTTAAATAATTTTGTTTACTCAGATTTAAACCAAGAAATATGAACTAATGCAAGAGTCAGAACCAAATGAAATGTCTGAAGTACAAGACTTAAACACTGTACAAAATTCATATCGTCATCCAACACACATTCCATTTCTAACCCATCAGTTTTGGGATTCATTCAGGAAATACTTAAAAACAGGCTCTTTTTATGGGTTCTACTGAGACTGTTTCTAACAGTCTTGTACAAAACATAATGATGATCATCTGTGTCATCTTGTGAGATGTTATTGAAAGACAACATTTGATAATTAAAAATTAATAAATATTTTCCTTCTGCAAGTTCATTGTAATTGTCTGTTTATATCAGAGTATTTAAAGTGTGCCAGTCTACCACTTCAAGGAATATTTCATCATACTGACAGCTGGTGATTTTTTCTCTGTCAGTAAATATAAGAGGAAAGTACTAAACGCTGCACAGTGGTATAACTATAAATAGATCCTTTATTTGTTGCTTCCAAATTTTATCTATTAGCCTGCTAACAAAAATTTAGCTGTTGATTCCGTGGGATCAAGTCAAACTGGCTTCACTAAAGTCAACAGTGTATTCTATTTTATTGCACACCATGCTCAAACTCCACATCTTCAGTGATAGATGAAATAAGCCACATCATTGTAAATGGTATCTAAAATTTTTATAAAGCAGCCACTCAACTTCCAAATTGGAGAATTCTTCTAGTTACTGTACCTGGCAGGTGTTAGGTGCTATGTTTTATATTCAGTAGTTTATGTTTAAATCTATCACAGTTAATGTTGTGAAAGATGTACCTTGAAGATTAATACCACTGGTTATGGATGGGAGTAAAGGTTTGGTTTCGATACATCAGACGGTAGCTGTCACCTCTTTTACTCAAGTGTAACCATTTTGCCAGGTCTTAATTGCCTTCAGCAAGGGCCAGGTTTAAAATTAAGAGTGTCCATGTGTTGCTCAAGTTTCACCCAAACCCCTGGGAAAATAATATTGAACTTTCTCCTGTTCAGTGGCTTAATTTTCCCCATTTGCAAACACAAATTGAAGGGATCAATAGATAAAATTTTAAATTAAAGTTAAAAACAAAACTCTTGACAAAGTAGTTGGGGTAAAAGACAGCACCTAGCACACAGTTCAAGGAATAAAAATTTTACAGTCTTCATTTTGAGGGGCAGTGCTTGGCCAGCTGTTCACTTTTCCTTCCTAAGACAGCCTTCTCAAAATTTAGGACTCTGACGTCTCACAAGGCAGCAAGGCCTGGTCAGCTTCAGCTTTCATAGAATCATAAAATCGTAAAGTTTAGAAGAGACCTTCAAGATCATTCAATCCAATGGCCCGCCCAGCATTACCACTGTAACTCCTAAACCATATCACCCAGCACCAGATCCAGGTGCTGCTTGAACACCACCTCTTTGGGCAATCTGTTCTGATGTCTGACTACCCTAGCAGTGAAAATTTTTTTTCTAATATCTAATCTGAATCTCCCCTGCCTCAGCTTAAGGCCATTTCCTCTTGTCCCCTCACTGCAGGCACGGCAGAAGAGACTGGCCCCATCTTGCTATAACCTCCTTTCAGGTAGTTGTAGAGAGCAATGAGGTGCCCTCGAGCCACCTCTTCTCCAGACTAAATAAACCCAGCTCCCCTGGTGGTTCCTCACAAGAAATGTGTTCCAGACCCTTCACAAGTCTTGTTGCTCTTCTCTGGTGTGTTCTTTTCCACTCACCATGTAAAAAACTCTTTTCCAAAGACGCCTTTTCTACTTTCCAAGCTTTGCACCCCATGTTGAAAGTAAATGCCTTAGATAAGGCTAACACTCCTCAGGCATGATTAAAAAGTCTTAACTAACCTAAACTCCTCCACACTCTCACAGGTACCGAATTTCCTCCTTTACACTAAAAAGCTCCCTTTCAGACAGAAATGTTTCTAAAGTATAATGAAACAGCATATGCAAAGCAAACATGTTTCAGGCCTATCCACTGGTGCTTTAGGTTCCTCATCCCTTTGCTCTGCCAGTTGTCAGTCAGACTCTTTTTCTAGTCTGTCTTTCTTTCCCCTGAGGAATTTTTGTGGTGGGAGAAGGTACCAGAGATTTGCTTTCACTTTGGGCCTCAGCCACCAGCATTACCCAAAC